ACCGGTGTGAGGTGGCAGGTGTAGGGGTGGGGGGGGGGGTCTTGAATCAACTTCAAAAGCCTTTAAATCTTCTCATATTTTCTATATGGACCCCCTTTATGCGCCGCTGTATTATTTCACTGAAATCATATTTTGGAATTTCAAAATGTGAGGTATCAAATCAATCACAACTAATTTATTAATATATTCATGTTAACATATAAACTCATGATAATCTTATTAATTCTACAATTTAATTTCGAAAGTCATATAACTTGAGCTTAAATTACATCTGTAATGGTAAACGTTTACTAAAATGAAGAAATAAAAAATCCCCAAAGATGCATGTAATATTTGTTTGTATTAATATCATTACTGGTTCATGGTTTTCAGGTGGATTTAGGTCACAAACAAAACCTTTGCTTGCGAAATTTGAGTTCTTAACAAAGCTTTTTATGTTTTATGTTATTTTCATAACTTGAAGAAGTGAAACTAAAGAACAAAGAGAGTATAGCAAGAAAAAGAGGACGGTTATGATTATGCAGGAACTGGTTTTTATATATATATATATATATTTTTTTTAATATATACTTAAAACAACTAATTTGTTCATTATGAATGAGCTTGGATGTTTAAAAGTGCAGATTTTTTTCATCCACTAGATGGCAGTACAATAAAACTAAAACAACTGTCTTCAAGAAGCCCACATTTCAATGAAGAGAGCAAAACAGTCATTTTAGTTATATTATTCACAAATATTATTAATTGTAACACAAACATTAGAAAGTATATGAAGTGCATCTACAGCAATGGCTAACTAATAATATTTATACAGATGTCAATTCAAACCCTGTACATGTTTCAAAGATGAAAACACTTGGTTTGTTTCCTTTAGAAATGGTTATTGAGTACTACAGAGTGCTGTGATATTACTTGTAAGTGGTTTGGGTGCTGTCTGCTGAGTTTGCATCCTCTGTTTCTGGTTGTAGGGCAGAGGTGTCAAGGTGTAACATTTAAGAAGCTCAGAGGCTTATTGGATATGGGTCAGCACATCTCTCTCACCCTCCTCCCGCTCTCTCACTCTTGCTGCACATATCACCAGAAATGTACCATCATCTCTACAGTAACCTGAAGGCAAACGTACACGGGCCTGCACCCATGCCCAGCTGCATTAAGCTCCTCAAGCACATCTGAAATCCCAAAAGTCATGTGATCCATCATAAAGTCAAGACTTATGCAACCATCTAAAGTTTTAATAGCCAGCAAATGGGATGCAATGCAAATGTGAATCAAACAGTAAAACTGTTTGAGCAAAAAAAAAAAGATATTTATCATTACCTGGGCTCGTATTTCTCTGTAAACCATAAACATTGTGCTAATAGTCCAAATGAGCTCAGAGAGACCTCAGACAAGCTCTCAAAACACAAGGTTTAACTGACACAGGCAAATCTAAGAGAACTCTAGGGATCGTCCAAGGAAGCGCCCTTCGTTAACTTTAATTATACCCAATACACCTTGTGCAAATTCAATTGAAGTGGGCCTATCACAGCTACACCAAACAAATGCCTAATTACACTGCATAAACGCTCATGCACAAAGGGGTCTCCATGGCGAGGTGGAAATAGGCTGCTGAGACCTTGCTCGACCTTAAATAAGAACTGAAGATGAGAGCTCAAAAACATAAAGCATAAAAATAATAGTAAAATGTAGGGTATTTTCTTTCATTTTTGAATTAAACTTCATTTAGATTTTTTTGTGGAGGTTTTAATTGACTGGAGACTGTAATTCTTGAAATATATGATATGTTGGCATAAGTAGCTTGGTTTGTATATATATATATATGTGTGTGTGTGTGTGTGTGTGTGTGTGTGTATAGATAGATGATAGATAGATAGATATAGATGTGTATATATATATATATATATATACATATATTATATTTTATTTTTTGTACAAATAAATGATTTAACTCTAATGAAATGTGTTCATAGTAATTTCTGAATACATACAAATAATCTTTAAAAATATGTTTGAAGATGTATATGATATATGATATATTGTCATAAATATCTTGTTTTGTATATATATATATATATATATATATATATATGTGTGTGTGTGTGTGTGTGTGTGTGTGTGTGTGTGTATAGATAGATGATAGATAGATAGATATAGATGTGTATATATATATATATACATATATTATATTTTATTTTTTGTACAAATAAATGATTTAACTCTAATGAAATGTGTTCATAGTAATTTCTGAATACATACAAATAATCTTTAAAAATATGTTTGAAGATGTATATGAAAACGTATTTTACTTATGCAAATAATTAATTAAACAAACAAACAAACAATCAAGAGATCTCTCAACAACACTGTGTCAAGTTGTGTGTGTGTACACAGTATATATATATATATATATATAAATAAACTTTGTTCAGGTCAAAAAAGTAACCCTATTTATTATTTGACTGAGTTTGTGTTGAACACTTTCAAAAATCCAAACAAACAAAAACAATACAATACGCATTTCTAAGTGCTTTACACTAAATTTCTCTATTTTATCTCCTAGAACATAAAATTAAATCTAAATATAAATGAATATAAAATCAAATAAAAACAGTTCATTTAATGGTGTAAATTAATGACTATATGGAATTATCTGATTGGTTCATTGCATTTAATTACTCTTCTTGGCCCATCAAGATGTCTTCCTAATGTGCAATTTACGCTTGTGATGACTGTACACCATAACGCGCATTAACATTATTTTATATTTCCTTCGTTTGTCTATTAACATTATTTTATATTTCCTTCGTTTGTCTAAAAAGTAACTAGTTGCTCTCACGGCTAGCTCAGTCAGTAAAGGTGGGTCTGAAGCGTTAACGTATGTCTGCAATCCTCTTATTTTGTCCCTGACCAAGTATGGATTACATTCATCCGCGGGTCACTTTCAAAGGACTTTCATTGAATAGAGAAACATCTAGGCCTCTTGATAATTTCAAGTGGAACAATTTAAAACGCAAATCGCTTATTTATTTGATTTGATTATAACGATGCATTTAATTATTTTCAAGCTCGTCAAGGATTTCAGAAACTGCGATGTAAAGGAAATAAGGTAAAAAATGTAACCCATATTGACAACACTATCGAGTAGCTGTACTGCAATATTCATAACAGTGAAGCTGGAAAATGTTACTGAACGTTAGGTGTGAATTGTGAAGGTGCAAAAGGGCACCTGGATTGATGACTGCAGGCATTAAGTAGCTCTCCAGGGTGCTGAAGTTGAATCTCTCAACGCCACTGACGAGCCTCATCAAACTCTTGTTTGTGAGCTGAGATCTTCTCAACATTTGTTTATGCCCACGGCGCGACTGATGCTGGAAAACCGTCGTGAAAGATGACCGTCTAACCATATGAAGGATATAAATCTACGTTATTAAAGAAAACACTGGAGGAAAGAGGTAAAACTTTGTGGAGATGTTTTCATGCATCAAGAGGCCCATATAAATAATGGTAAGTTCAGTTTCTCAACTGCATTTTATGTAGCAATGTGTTCCAGTTTGTTCACTAGCATAAATATAAGTGCAGAAAAATGTGCAGTTATTTATTTATTCCCTTTTTGCATTTGTAATGCATCAACAAATTTGGCAGTGAAGCAATTGTCACTCAGTACATTTCACAAATAATTACAAAGAAATGACAAGTAGCACATTGAATTAAACATGACATTTAAATGTGGAAAGACTAAAGTATTATTTTCTTGCAAAATCACTCCAATATTTTATTTTCAACTTGAAAAAATCATACAGTTAATAATATGATAATACCGTGTATGAAATGTTTTAATTATTAGGTCAAAAATAAATATTTTCCCCTTGTCACAAAAAATTCATGTAATTTCTACATCCACTGTGTCTAATCTTTTAGATCGAATCGTATAGTCGAGTTTCAACTCTAACACAATTTAAAATGAACTGCAGATTGTCAATTTCGAACTACTTTGATCAACTTTGATGAGATGAAATGATTACACTGTACATAAAATATACAACCTAGCTGTGTATATAACAGATAATCCTATATTATTGAATATTTGGCCTTGAAAACTGATAAACAGCTGCCATGACTTCAGTTCATGCTGTTTTCTAGGTGTCTCTTTGCAACATCCATCTCTCATAACGGCTTCTGACGGAGGACAATGCAACATATTCACCTCCCATTCGGAGGTGCTTTATGGGAGCTATCCAATTACCCCTGCTGCCCCGTCCTCCGGAGCAGACACAGCCTCTCTACGCTCCCATTTTACAGCATCACACTATGGATTATTCTTGGTGTTTTGACGTTTCCATGCTGTGTCCAATGCCTGATTTTCAAAGTAGGCGTCCTGGGGCCTTGGAACTGTGACCCTTATTATGCGAAATCACTTCCTGCCATTGCGTCCAGACTGGCTGTTGGCCGCATAAACGAGGATTTTAGTTTAGACCTGGGCTGTACGATGGACTTCGTCATCCTTCAAGAGGCTTGCGAGACATCCAAAGCCTTGACCTCATTTGTACAGTATGAGAACGCGGTTGATGCGTTTGTAGGCCCTACAAATCCAGGATACTGCAATGCTGCGGCGCTCATGGGCAAGAATTGGGACAAGTCTTTGTTTTCATGGGCGTGCATTAACTATGAGTTAGACTGGGTCCAGGGCTACCCAACATTTGCTCGAACTTTACCATCCCCGACACGGGTGCTCTTCAGTGTGCTTAGATTTTTCAGCTTGGCTAACATTGCCATCGTGTCTTCTAATGAGGATATATGGATTGACACCGCTGCCAAATTGGCTAGTGCTCTCAGAAACCAGGGGCTTCCTGTTGGCATCGTTGTGTCCATGGGGAATAATGACACCATGCTGGAGAACACATTGCTGAGCATACGAAACGCAGGGGAGATCAAAGGTAAAGTGTTTTGGACACATCAATTTGCAGTATCTGCATAAACATTCGTTTTATGTTTAGAGGCATTAAGAGATTTTTGCTCCAGTAAATATTTCTCAGTATTTTTTAAGGTCAGTTTCTGTATAGACTTTTTAAGATGACAATTTTAACCAGTAAAACAAAAGGTATCATACAGTATAAATCATAAAAAAAATTGTTTTACTTTTAACCATTAAATATTAATAAATTAGATATATTTAACAATTAAAACGTATGATAACGTTCCTTAAAAAAACTAATATAGTTACAGTTCTTTTCAAATGATTATATACTTTGAATGTTTGTCAATGTGTTTTCTCAGTATTTCTGAAAGTTAGACTTTGAAGGCTTTTTAAGATTACTCTACAAAACAAAATAACAGGAAACAGAAAAAATGTAAAAGGCAACATATCAAAGCACAAACCATTGTTTTAACCAATTAATATAATGATTAATAAATTGGATACATTTAAAATTTAAGAAACATGACAACTCTCCCTCGTCAACCTTTAATTATATATATATATATATATATATGTATATATATGTATATATTATACAATATTTAGAATTATTATCATACTAATATATTTATACTTTTTTAAAGAGAGAGAAAATTTAAAACCAACATACAAAAACCACTGCTATAAAAAAGCAGGCATAATTGGACTCAAAATCCTGTAATAGATCATATATATATTATGATTAAACAGATGGCAGCTGAAAGTTTGCTTTATCTCTCATCACTTCACTTTCTTTTGCTAGAATGGTCAAAAGGAGGTTTATCTTTTACAAACTACCCCATATTATCATACTAATATATTTATACTTTTTTAAAGAGAGAGAAAATTTAAAACCAACATACAAAAACCACTGCTATAAAAAAAAGCAGGCATAATTGGACTCAAAATCCTGTAATAGATCATATATATATTATGATTAAACAGATGGCAGCTGAAAGTTTGCTTAATCTCTCATCACTTCACTTTCTTTTGCTAGAATGGTCAAAAGGAGGTTTATCTTTTACAAACTACCCCAAAAAAAAGCATTTATTTAAACCTGTGTGTAAATGCATGCACTACATTTGTTGCTCAATTAAAGATATTTATGTGAAACAAAGGTTTCTAAAATTTTAAACAACGTTTGTTCAAAGGTTTATTCAATTCATTCAACTGTCACACACATGACTGTCTAATCATGGTCCTTTTTAAAAATGCATTTTTTGCATTTAGGTACAAAGTACAGTATCTTTTCTAAATTATGATTCAACACAAATGAATTGATTTTTCATGTTTCAGTCATCATTATGTGCATGCACTCAGCGCTCATTGGAGGAGTGCAACAAACGTCATTCCTTATCAAGGCCTATGACATGGGATTGACGAGGGGTCAGTATGTGTTTATACCATACGACACCCTCCTGTACAGCCTGCCCTACACCAACACCACCTACTTCCCACTGCAAAACAACACCAAACTGCGCAAAGCCTACGACGCTGTACTCACCATCACCGTAGAGTCAGACCTGATGTCATTCAACGAAGCGTACAACATGGCCAAACGATTCGGAGAACTGATGCTGTCACAAGAGCCAGAGCAGGTGTGCACGGTGCACTTTGAAACATTTATGAGTCTTATTTGTACACGTGCATAAAACATTACATTAAAACGTTCTGCTACATTTCAGGTCTCTCCGCTCTTTGGTACAATCTACAACAGTTTGTACCTCCTTGCCAAGTCCATGCACAACGCCAGAAGAACTGGTAAGTGGTTCTCCGGGTCCAACCTGGCCTCCTTCACGAGGAACATCACATTTTCAGGGTTCAACCAGAACATCCGCATGGACGCCCAAGGGAACGGGCAGACCGACTACGTGATCTTAGACACTGATGGCTGGGGATCTGAACTGTATCGTTGCTTTTATGTGAACCTGACTTTAGATAAGGTGCTGTTCGCCGGCACGTACATTCATTTCCCTGCAGCTTCACCTCCACCTTCAGACTCCAGCTGCTGGTTTGACCCCAATGCCATCTGCGCAGGAGGTACAACAAACCCACACAAAATCATGCTCAATGAGAAACAGATATTTGACTTTTAATGGTTTTATTTTTTCAGCTTAAAGGTGCTGTATGTAGGATTGACAACTAGTGGTTGAACTAGATATTGCAGTCCAAATTCAAAATATTGGAGAGGGTTTTTTTCACCCGGCCCCTCCTCCTCAGACTTGACGCAGACACCAACAGGAACAAGCGCGCTTGATGATGAATGAAATGAAATACGCTGTATTTTCCGCCAACGGGCAACCAGGCTGCCGAAATACAATTGGGTAAACTAGCAGTGGGCGGGTTTCACAAACCAAAACAAAGACAGACATTCCGGCCCGGACCACACATTTTCAAAGGAGAATAACTGACTGTAGCATTGTTTTTAAGTATGTTAACTTAGCATTTTTTAAAAAATATCTGCAAACATATTATGGTATTTTTATGCTTTAGTAGAGTCAAAAACTTACATACAGCACCTTTATGAGCCACCTGTATTATTATTATTATTATTATTATTATTAAAATAATAACATTCAAATTCAAATAATTTTAAGAAATATTACTTGGTATTTTATCTTCGGACTGGATGTTTAAATCCTCTTTGGTGCTGGATCTCATTAAGGTACTTTTGAACATTATAATAAATATTAATGTAAAAATGTGATCTCCAGATCATTATCAAATGCATTTATAATGTCTGTCTTTGGTTTCTGGTGTAGGGCATGAAATATCTTCACCACAGGGAATTTCCTCATGGGCGCCTGAAGTCTCATAATTGTGTAGTAGATGGACGTTTTGTCTTAAAGATCACTGATTATGGATACAATGAGATTCTTGAGACCCAGAAAGCTCCAAAGGAGACCCCACCTCCAGAGGGTATGGGTGTTTACTTTTTTTAAATCTGGTTTATTTACTATGCAAATCTAATTTTTACTCCATCCAATTCTCTGATATTAAACAAAAATGTGATAAGGCAGTTCTTTGTCTCTCAGATCTATTCTGGACAGCTCCTGAACTTATCAGAGACCATGAAAGTCCCCGGAAAGGAACTTATAAAGGAGATGTGTACAGTTTTTCGATTATACTTCAAGAAGTGGTGGTTAGAGGAGCGCCGTACTGCATGCTCGGCTTGTCTCCTGAAGGTTGGTTATAAAGAAAATCTACAAAATTAATCCTCTTACAGTATTAGTTTGAAGAATCAGTTTTAAAGAGGTAAATAGGCTGTTACAACAGTAACTGGGCAGGTATTATCAGTGAAATTTGGCATCTCTTTTTAAGCATTGGCATGTTTATGGTATTCACAGAGATAATAAGGAAGGTGAAGAAACCTCCGCCTATGTGCAGGCCCACTGTTGCTCCAGATCAAGCTCCACTGGAATGCATCCAGTTAATGAAGCAGTGCTGGACTGAACAGCCTGATAGAAGGCCTCCTTTTGATCAGATCTTTGATCAGGTGAGTTTAGAGTAGTTGCTTTTGGAGTTTATTGAGTGCACTGGCAGAATAACAAACATGGAATCTAAGGAATTTTGTAGTTTTTAGAATGGTTGCTTACTTTGTGTAATGATTTTACAGTATAATGTGCCAGCCATTTAATTTTATTGTATTTTATTTATTTTATTGTTGTTATTTATTGTATTCCATTATTGTTTTAGCATCATAATTGATTTAGTTTGGGTTATCTGATGTATTATTTCTATTATTATTTCTATATTTAGATTTTTCAAAATAAATTAATATTTTTATTCAGCAAGAATGCATGAAACTGATCAAAAGTGACAAAAACATTTCTAATGTTACAAAAAAATTCAGATATTTCAAATAAATCGTGTTCTTTTGAACTTTGTATTCATCAAAGAATACTGAAAAATGTGTCATGGTTTCCATGTTGGTAAATATTGGTGAAAAATAAGAAATGTTTCTTGAACAACAAATCAGCATATTAAAATGATTTCTGAAGGATCATGTGACACTGAAGACTGGGGTAATTGAAATTGAGCAATGAAAATTCAGCTTTGCCATCACATGAATAAAAAACATTTTAAAATGTATTAAAAATTATTTTTTACTTATTTTAAAGTTTATTAATAGTTAACATATTTTACAATATTACTGATGTACTGTAATCTTGTAATCAAATAAATACAAAGTTTTAGTCAAATAAATACAGCTTTTGTGAGCATAAGAGTCTATATGTATATTATTTCACTGGATTGCTTTACTCCCAAATTTTACATTAAAGACACTTTCATGAAAGTTTCTTGGCAAAGGTCTAAAAGACAACTACCTGTATATAGTGATTTTTTTCTTATATTCAGTGATAATGGTTCCTTATTTTCTGTTTTCAGTTCAAGCTCATCAACAAGGGCAAAAAGACCAATATTATTGACTCCATGCTGCGTATGCTGGAGCAGTACTCCTCTAACCTGGAGGACCTGATCAGGGAAAGAACAGAGGAGCTGGAGGTAGAGAAACAGAGGACAGAGAAGCTTCTGGCTGAGATGCTTCCTCCGTGAGTATACGTTTTCACACACCAACACTTCCTTTCACATACGGTCGCATACTTCATTTTATTTTCTCCACTAAGACATGTTCCTGGAACAACATCTATGTCAAATTAAGCTTCATGTCATTTTTCATTCACAGTTCTGTGGCAGAAGCTCTGAAAACCGGTGCCTCCGTGGAGCCAGAGTACTTTGATCAAGTCACCCTCTACTTCAGTGACATTGTAGGCTTCACCACCATCTCATCCCTTAGTGACCCAATTGAGGTTGTAGACCTGCTCAATGACCTTTATTCCCTATTTGATGCCGTACTTGGCAGCCACGATGTCTACAAGGTACGTTTTGATGTCTGAGAGAACTGAACAGCAATCGATTTCCATGAAAAGCCAGATAACTCTTCTTTATCACAGGTTGAAACCATTGGAGATGCCTACATGGTGGCCTCTGGGCTGCCGAAGAGGAACGGCAACAAGCATGCAGCCGAGATCGCCAACATGTCCCTGAACATTCTCAGCTCCGTGGGCTCCTTCAAGATGCGGCACATGCCAGAAGTTCCGGTCAGAATACGGATCGGCATTCACTCAGGTGAGCTCTCAATCTGCAGCTGTTTTCATCCGCTTAGTGGTACTGAACAAAAACCCTCTTGTGATGCTCATGTAATCTTTTGATGTCCAAATTTGTACTTCTTGTCCCTCATCCTATCATGTTTCTTCTCTATCCAGGTCCGTGTGTTGCTGGAGTTGTGGGTCTAACTATGCCTAGATACTGCCTTTTTGGAGACACAGTCAACACCGCCTCTCGTATGGAATCTACAGGGTTGCGTATGTTCCATTCAGATATTTTTGTGATTTACTAACCCATGATGCACTGTAATGAGAAGATACATCAATAAACATTATTTCCTTCAGCTTACAGAATTCATGTGAACATTAGTACAGTCAATATTCTCCGCTCACTGAACGATGGCTACAAAATAGAAGTCCGAGGAAAGACTGAGCTTAAGGTACTAACACAAACACTTTCTTTTAAGAATCATACTAAATAATAAATAATAACTATATAATATTTGAACATACACTACCGTTCAAATATATGTGGTCAGTTAATACTTTCATTCAGCAAGGATGCATTAAATTGATCAAAAGTGACAAAGACATTTATCATGTAAAAGATTTTTATTTTAAATAAGTGAGAATTTGTTTTCAGCACCCCATTAGTATATTAGAATGATTTTAAAATGTATTAAAATGGTAAACAATAATTTCAAATTGCAAAAAAATGTTTTTGATAAAATAAATGCAGCCTTGGTGAGCATGAAAGACTTCTTTCAAGAACACTAAAAAAATCTTACTGACCCCCAAACTTTTGCAGTAACTTTAGCATTTTTCATTTTTTATTCATGTTTATGGATTTTTTTAGGGGAAAGGCATTGAAGAAACATACTGGCTTGTAGGAAAGTCTAATTTTACAAAGCCTTTGCCAAAACCACCAGAGATCAAACCAGGGTAAGGATTTAATAGTATTTTACCACTTATTTTAAACAAATATAAATTTTGTATGCACACACACACACATGTCTGGTTTGCTATCCTTGTGGGGACTATCCATAGGCGTAATGGTTTTTCTACTGTACAGACCGTATATTCTATTGCCCTACACCAACCCTACCCCTAAACCTACCCCTCAGATTTTCTGAAAAACTTAATTCTGTATGATTTATAAGCTTTTGTACCCGTGGGGACCACAATTTAGGTCCCCACCGTGACACGAGTCCCCATGAGTCTTTGTGTAGTCAGGTTTAAGTCCCCACCAGGATATATAAACCAGTACACACACACACACACACACACACACACACACACACACATATATATATATATATATATATATATATATATACAGTATATATAAGCAGTGGCCTTTTTATTATACTGCACTTGATTTAACTGAATAGTATTTTACTGCACCACTTTCCAAATAAATTGTACTTTTAGATGCATTTTGTGGTTTAGATTAATTCTCTTTGTACTTATGAATGGGATACTATTTATGAATTGGATAATTGGATTTATGCATCAGGGAAGACAACCATGGTTTGAGACCTGAGGACATTGAGGCTTACAGGAGAAGGAAAGCTGAGAAAAAGGCATGAACCCGTAGACATTTGCAAGGAGGTAGTACCTTGCATGCTGTGCTGTATTTGTCATTTGGTTAGGGTGTTTTCTGGTGGGTTTGTTTGTGCTGTGATGGTGGTTGTTGTGGTGTCGGACTTTCTGCTTATCCGATTATTTGTGCATGTTGTGTATTGTTGCAGGTTTTTTGAAATGCATTACTTACCAAGGTCCAAAAATGATAAACAATTCTGTCTTTCATAATCATTGATAACTTTCTAAATTACTTCTCCTCTTTTAGAGATAACTGGCAAGACATGATGACGGAGGAGATCAAGTCAATATTTCGTAAGGCCAACAGACAAGTGGACAAGCCCAAAATCTGAGAAGAACAAGGATGTTAAAACTGACCAAGAAGGAAAGACACATGACAAGTTGCATGGGAGGGAAACAATGGACAATACAAGCATGTGTGTTTCACTGCAGCTTACAAAGACTACTTTAATAGGATTGGTTGTCGTCTGTCTAATCCGACTCTGCCCAGCGCAGCAGAAACAACAGCGCTAATGAAATGGCCTCTGAAGAACATGTAGTCAGTGAAAGTATATTTCTTTCCCAGTGTCTAACACTGTCACACTTACTCTGTTTTGGTCACAGAGTGGCTCAGTGTGCGTCTCATACCAAAGGCGACTTCACATTTGGGTTTTTTTTTTCACAGATGTTTCGCATTTTGTGTTCTCACATATTTGTTACTCATGGTGGAGCTTTAATTGATTTTCTTTGATCTTCTCTAAGCAAAAAACTATGTAGTGACATAATCAGATTTGGCGAGGCTTAGTGGACATCTGCTGCAAAGACCAAATGGGATATTCTAGTGATGTTTTATGCAAAAGCCAGATCGACTGAGGTTGGTTGGTAGCAAGTGATTACAAATGTAAGACTGCTGTACGTTGTCTCTTGACTCATGAAATCGTGAAATAGGACTGTGTTTATGCTGAGTAAGAAGTTGCTTAAGAGAAATTACAAAATGGAATGCAATAATTCTGTGAATTCTGGTCATTTATGCAAAGATATTTATTTATACTGTGCAGAATATTTATTAGTTGTACTTGGAAAAACATTTAGAAAACAGGGCAAAACTGATACTGCTTTTAAATTACATATAAAATCAGACAAATCGGTTTAATAAAGGGTCCTGTCTCTCTCTGATGAAGCACATGTGCTTGTACTGGATGTAAAGTGAAATGTTTAAGATGCTGTGCAGTTTAAGTTGTATTAAACATGTAGGCTGGGTTTGTCTGAGAGGGATTGACTGCCTTACATAAGCTGTTTAAAATGATAACTTGCATTTTCTGTAAATCAAACCTACCAGGCACAGCCTGAGTGGCATTTTTAATTATAATTTTTCTGACTGATCTCATTTTCTGGGAGTCAATGTAAAGGCCTGTCAGATCTCAACAGGCCTCTCTTTAATAGTTCAGTTTTGCACTCCTGGCATTTTTAATTGTCTGTTAAACATGTATATAAGTACTGTACTATATTATACTATAATTGTTACATTTCATGAGCAATTGTATTAATAAGGATAGCATTAGGAGACTTGAAACGTTAAATTTTATGCTAGCAAAAGACAATGTTGTTCTGATGCTTGGTACAGACAATAACACAGTTGAACAAGTAATTTTTTGCCATGCCTTTTTGTTTCTTCTTGCATTACAGGCTATAATGAAAGCTAAGTAACAGCCTCAGTAAACAATAATTTCCATAATTTCAAAACAGATGAGTCACCTGATTCAAGGTTTCTTAACAGTGTTAGGTGTTACACAAGAAAGCAGCTAGAAAAATTGTTTAACTGTTTAATTTAATTTGAGTTGTTTAATTGTTTAAGGCTACCGATGTCAATCATATCAGGTTTGATATTAGCTATATTTCGCAGCATATCAAGGCAAGTTTAACTCATAGACTGTATAAGGTTTAACTGTAACGTTTTGTTTTACAACACAAAGTACTTAAAAAACTTAGGCATATGTTGCAAACAAGTTGCTAAGTGAGGGCTAGGCCTACTTTATAAGTAGGCTACAGTATTTAAGCTTTAGCGACAGCTAATTTTATTATATATTTTTTAATTAAAATAAAAGTAAACAGGTAGGCCTAAGTAAATATAAGTAAAAAGGTGTTGTGACATAAAAGCCTATGTGTCGAAAAGTTTAAAGTTGTTTTTGGTTTGTTCTTTATTCTCAACCATTTCTCATTTAACAAAATGATTGAGAACTGGATGTCTTTTCTGCAGTTTTGTTGCTTACCACAAGATTATGTTATAAAGGTTTTGTTCTGTGGATCAACCCAAAGCAATGATTCCGTAGCCTACATTCAGTATTCTCTTTAATCATAATCCTTAAACCAGTTGCTTTCATTTTATGAATATTGTGCACCTTACATTACGTCGGCTGGGTTATCCTGGCAAGGTTTACAGGTTGGTTATTTATCTTGACGATCTCCTCTTTGACTATTTTCTTAGCCTCTTCTGATTGCCTATTTCACCATGCGAGCCCTTGACTCCTATATGTCAACTCATTGGCTCATTCAGCCTGCAGGATGGATCTGCTACTGTGAAAGGAAACAGCTACTTTCTCACGTCAAAACTCCTCTTTGTGGTTTAGAGGTTTATGGTGCCATAAAGACAGCAGGGTGTCTGGGAAATCTGTGTCACTTAACAGGTGAGGAAGTGAGACAACATTTTATTCCCTCAGTGGAATAAACACACAGCTAAAGCTTCACATTCCAGTCCACAGAGGGCTGACACAACAAACCAGGCGGTTTGACTGGGATTAAACTGTTAGGAATGACAGAGCAGTGACAATGTGCTGTGCTTTTATCTGTCGTTATTAGTTATTGTCAGTTATTCAGGATAGTATGGCTTTTATTCAATTTTAGATTTAATTTATTTGTTTTATGTATTATTTTAGATTTTACCTTTTGTATGGATTTATTTATGTTTTCATTTATTTTATGGATTTATTCATTTATTTAAATCTAAACAATCTAAAATACCACAGCTTAACATCAATGGCACTACACTTAATATAAGCATAGTGTCTGATTGAATAATACACATAAACAAATTGATGTCAAATCTCTGGTTACATTTGTAGGGTTCTAATTCTTCACCTATAGGATTGCATTGCTCCTGATGTTTATACTGTAAACGGTCTCCTTAAACATGTTTTTGTACTGACAGGTTCACTGAGACTGTCCATACACAGATAATCCATCGGAATGGCCACATGAGGTAACAGTCAAACCAATAATAACAATAATACCATTTTAAAACATCAGAAAATTCAAATAGCCTAAAAGTTACAATTCATCTCTCATTTTATCACCCTTAGGCCGAACTAGCCTGCCAAGAAAAAGAATGGAGTTGGTCTTGTTGTCTTTCACAAGGAAAATGAAGGGATGGTCGGCGTAGAAGAGCTTGGGGTTCCTGATCTTCTCGCTACCATAAATGCTGGTGTCAAATGGGTTTCCCTCTGTGTCCCACTCCAAGGCAGAGGCATGGAAGACATTGGCGAGGTAAAGATCTTTCTTGCCAGAAATGTTGGACAGGTCTGCCTTAGACTTGTCCACAGCTTCAGTGAGACCAAGTTCTGCAAGATGTTTCTGCAAAGCAAGAGGAAAGAGCCTCATATTTCATGCACAAAATAGTAGTAGTGGTTATATAGCAACTATATAGCAAAAATCAGCCATTTTTACCTGAAGGTCGTGGCTGACTTCCATGCTAACTTTAGGTAGAGAGATGGCGACCGCTCTCTCCTCGAGCTTACTGACCCAGGTGTCCAGCTGCTGGCGAGTGAGCAGTTTCTCCAGCCTTTCCAGAGGCTCCACATGGTAGGGCATGATGAAAATCATGCTGGACTTCTTATGTGCCAAAGGCATGCTGACCACAAGCAGTTTGTTCTGTGTGTCTTCATAGAAGCCGTAGATACCTGTAAAGTGCAAAGTTAAATAATGTTAAGTTCACTTGTAGGTATAGTAGATTTTGAGTAAGAGACTTCAAAACAAGCTGTTGGTTTTACCTGTGCGATGCATCATTGGAACAGAGATTGCGTGAGAGCGGGAAACCAGGAAACCACGGTTGTCAACCATCTTGTGGTGGAACTTCTCATCCCAGTGGGCTGTGGAACAGAAATAAGCCATTAATATTAATAATTAGGTTGGTCTTTCTAGTCAATATTGTGGTTCTTATTTTGGCCTGGCTCTCTTCAATTAATACTTACATAAAATAAATATCAATCGTAAATATCTATCAAAAGTAAATATCAATGCTGACTTCTGAATCTATAATTACATATGATTTAATGATTAGTATTTAAGTATAATTTTTTATAGACATTCCAGGAACTGTCAAAGTAAATATCCATCATAGCAAAACATTTATAAAAAAAAAACAGAACATGAAAAATGGGGCCTGCCAAGATCAATAATTAAATAGAATTGAACAATTATTAATTAAATATGATTTATATAGAGATTCCTGTAACTATTCAAGTAAATATTCATCCTATCTATATAAAAAAGCCAGGACATGGTGACTAGATCTGTGTGAATAATTTAATAAAATGTAATCATTTAAAAGTAATTCATACAGACATTCTTGGAACTATAAAAGTAAGTATCAATTGGGGGTTCGTCCGGGATGAATAATTAAATGCAATTTATATGACATCTTAATTTGAATACTTACGTTTAAAGAACATAGCATTGGCGATCATAGCCCCATCTGTGTTTTTCACATCCTTGGTAATTTCTGGCAGCTTTCCATCAGTTGACTTGGCAGCCCACTCATTGATGGAGTTAATGGCGCTTCTCTTATCACGGAAGTTGATCTTCGAGTGTTCGTAGTTATAGTGCTTCTTGCTGTTCTTGACAAAGTCATCAGAAAAGCTAACTGAGCTGGGGCCATACAGCCTGTTGCTGATCTTCCATGTGACGTTGCGGGCCTGGGGGTCGCTCACCTCAGTCAGAAGCTCGGACAGCCCTGTGTGCAGATGGTCATCCTTCAGGGTGTCAGCCTTCAGGAGACTCTTCACCTGGGACGCAGTGGAGAATTTGCCCCCCATGGCAACCATTCCCAGAGAGGAGGCCACCACCACAGGAGAGATGAGGATGTTGTCAAGATCCTTTTCTTTGGCGATATTGTGGTAGAGATTGAAGGCCAGGTTAGCGCTGGTGTCTGCCATGGAGGTTGCATGGGGACTCAGCTTTTTGTCCTCACCGGACACTGCCACAGCCAAAAGGCACAGAGCAATGAGGTTGGATACCAACATGCTTGCTGTATTTTTGGGCAGCAATGAAAGCCTAGAAGAGAAAAGAAGCAACAAGTGATACTGAGTGTAAAATGACCAATTTTTCAGTAATGGAAATTTAGGTTTTCTGTGTGTCTGTTTTAGGAACAAAAGGCTGCATAGTGAATTGTTTGATCATTTTATGAGTTTTAAATCATTTTGTATTTTGATTTATTATGTTTTTGAAATGTATGCACCCTAAATAGTTAAAACTACAGAAATAAAGCCTGTAGGCCACGTTTCTAGATCAAACCTGTTAAACAAATGCGATGGCAGTGACTAATCAGACAGGAATCCACTGCTTAATGTCAGTCTGCTCATTTTATACAGTTCTGAAATGTGCCAGATCACTTTAAAATAAATGTTAAAAACTTTACTGCATATAGAGATTACACTGCATGTTGAAAGTTTGATTTAAAACTGTTGTTGTGAGATGTTATGTGTCCCTATCCACTAACAACCTCAAGATAGCAGCTTATGTAAGTCAGCATGGTTATTCATTCACTTATTATGTTTGTGTCTTTTATCTGTTTCTTCTTTGTATGTTGCCTTTTTTTATAATCTTGGATACCTTGATACGTTTTCATATTCATAGTTGTCAACGATTGCGATTTTCACTCTGAAAGACAAGAGGTGCATTTGGGTAATCTACACAAAAAAATATTTATATGCATTGGATAACGTGCAAAAAAACCCCTCCTTGAACTCCTTGCTTCTGTTAAGCATAGGTTTATTTTGAAGCCAAGGTCTACTGCTACTTCATGCACACAGAGAAAAAATGTAGACTCTTCTTATTGGCTAGAAGATCTTAGGTGGAAACTTTCAACCAATCAGAACTTCCACAGTAGACCCACATCTGAATTCCAGATGTAGCACTGATTGAGTGATAGCATAAAACCACTCCTGACTGGAAAGATTTCATCACTCTTTTGTAAATATAGGGTAAAAAATAATGGGGAAATCGTACACACATCTGAAAAAATATGCATCATTGAACATCCTATGACTGTCCAACGCATGAAAAAACTGACCTGTAGGTGTTTTAGCAGTTTTTTGACTATAGAAAATTATTTTTCCCTTCCCAAGCAAAAAACATAAATAACCTTATACTTAATTTTGGATTGCGTTGCCTGTAAATGCATTTTTAAAAGTGCAACATTGGCTGAAAAGCAGAAAGAAGAGTATTCTCTGACCCTGTATGCAGTCGCCTTTTTAGATTGCAAGCAAAATTGAGTTATGGGCTGAGCTGGGGGCTGTGCCAAGCATGTATGATGTAAGATGTGAGCAAATTTACTTCTTAAATGCTGATGTAACTTTGTGCAGCATTGCATGTGTCTTTCATTTCTTATCGAAGAAGTGAGAAAAAGAGAATTTAGTGAGAAAAACAATTTACACTGGTTTAGTTGGTTTTGGTTTTATAAATGGTCTATGTGCAAAACAAATTCATTTAATTATACCTGAATTCACATAAATTATAAATCACAAATGGAATTGTGTTGTTTTACCACTGCAGCAATCAGAAGTTTACATCAAATACTGTAGTTGGTCAGATCAGCAACCCCAAGGAGTTTTGTTTTGTTTTAAAAGGCACAAGTCCTTTTTTTGCAAGACAAAATGATAATCTTTTAGGGCGGGTGCAGTAATCAGACAAGTTTTTCATAGCACCGTAAGATGCATGTCATTGGAAAATAAAATCAAAGAAGTAGGCAAACCTCCCCAACAAATATGAAAGTACATTTGCCCATTAAGTCAGAACTATTAAGTATGATTTAGGTCTCCTTATCGTAAGTGAGCCGGGTGATGCTGTGAGATGACCTATTATTATTGTCAGTCCTGTGGGAGCTGAGCCATGTGCTGTCTTTGATTAGTTCACACCCCCCTCCCACATGTCAAGGAATAATGGACGAGACTCTGAGACTCAAAGCACAGCGTTGCATCATTAGTGGACCAAATGACGACTACCCTCTTAAGAAGCCCGCATCTGATGAGGTCCGCTTTAATACTTGAGGATCTTTAATCTTCATTGTGTTTGATGTTGGGTGATTTTTAACTTAGTACTTAAAGCAGAAATCTGTGGTTATTTGATCAGTAAGGATTTCTTTACTAAATAGCAGCTATTTAAATTAATTGTGAGGCCTTATTGGCTATGGCATGTTTGACTAGGTTGCCAAATTTAGCTAATTTTAGAGCACAGGTTGAGGCAAAGCAGAGATGTAGTACTGGCTTGTATCATATCATTAGTCAGTAAACAAATTGAGGCTTTCTGCTGCACATCTATTCACAGTTTTCACATGATGTTAAACCCTCATAGGAACGCCTGCCTGGAGGGCAAAACAAGGCTTTCCTCTACTGCCTGCCAGTTATTTTTTAAGTACTACTGTACTGACATTAAAAGACTCATTTCAGTATGCACTTTATGATGCACGCTATATACGGCAAGTAGATGCGCCACGAATATGAACACATTAAATTGAATGTTAAACATTTTTCCATAGAAGACCATTAGAAATAAATTGCTTGAAATGTGATTTAGCAGTATAGAATGCTACAGTCGGGTTCCAGAAGTAAAAATTCCATCAATTTTCTCAATAGGGATGTTGATTTTTAACATTAACTTGTAAACCTTTAGAAACAGACATGCTGATTTTAAAAAAATCATGTTTAACAGCGAAATTCAAGGTGAAAAAGTACATTATCCTTAATGCTGTGAAGAAAATTCCACCAATCAGAGAGCTCAGCAGGGAACAATGACACACTTTTTTAATGTTGTGATTTACCTCGTAGCTGGTTGGTTTGGTTCATGGCTTATAATGCTTTATCAAAAAAAAATTTAAATCCCTAAAGGGAAAAATTAATGGGAAAAAATACTCCCAGAAGTGACGCCACAGAAAAACTCTGGCCACATCTGGTTGGTTTTACATAGCATATATACAGTGAATTATCAATAAAGTGTATACTGACGCCTCGCCCTCATCTCGACATCCAATCAACACCTAATGCATACAGCTGAGATGGACTAAAGCCAGAAATATTGTGGCAACGTCTCCAAGATGCTTCAAGAAACCTACCTGCAAAGCTACAGTACTGTTAAAAGTTTTATGCACAAGTTTTGTGTAAAATTGCTGTAAAATGAGGATGCTGTCAAAAATAATGTCATAAATATATTTTCTTTATCAAATAACTTCTATTAACTAAATTAAATCAACATTTGGTGTGACCATCCTTTGTGTTTAAAGCAGCTTTTGCCCTAGGTGCACTTGCGCATAGTTTTTCAGGTATCTTTTCAGGGAGGTCTCTGGAAGCATCTTGAAGACGTTGCCACCGTTCTTCTGGATTTAGTCTGTCTCAGTTTGTTCGGTTTCTTCATGTCGTTCCAGACAGACTGGATGATGATGAGATCAGATTTCTGTGTGGAGCACTGGCTGTTGTTAAACAAAAAGCTCACTGGATTATTACAATTAATGGCAAAATGAGTATTTGGAAATGTAAACTGATATTTCCTACTGACACACTACAGCAAAAGATAGAAATAACTGACTTAAAA